GTGAGGTGGTATCTCATTGAGGTTTTGATTTGGATTTCCCTGATGCTGAGCGATATTGAGCACTTTTTCATGTGTCTGTTGGCCATTTGGATGTCGTCTTTGGAAAAATGTCTATTCATGTCATGTCTTTTTTTCAACTCTTATCCTACTTATCTTCTCTCCATAGTTGATATTCTTTCACATCTCCTTGAAAGTTTCTTCTCTTTTCCCTTCCCATATATTCATTCAGTCTTGATTTTCCTCTTTTGTGTCTAACAATTTCTTAAAGATATGAAAAGTAAACAATTTATCTTCCAAACTGAAATACTTTTGAAGTGAAAAGATGTGCTATTTAATAACTGAGCCAGTATGGTGTGCCTGGGTGGCTCAGTCGTTAAGAGTCTGCCTTCGGCTCAGGTCATGATCCCAGGGTCCTGGGATTGAGGCCTGTGTCAGGCTCCCCACATCAGGCTGTCTGCTCGGCGGGAAGCCTGCTTCTCCCTCTCCCACCCCTCCTGCTTGTGTTCCCTCTCTCGCTGTCTCTCTCTCTGCCAAATAAATAAATAAAATTTTTTTAAAAATTGAGCCAGTATGGTAGATATAAATCCTGATTGTTCAAAATAGGAAAAATAGGATGTACTGTTATTTCATTTACAGATTGTTTTTCCCCTTGATTTTTTTCTTCTGTTAAGCCTGTAATATGGATCTCCCCTAGAATTATCAACCATCATCTTTTGTTCTTTTACATACTGTCCTTGGATGATCTGAAATATATGCATGACTGAAACTGTCACCTCCATTGATAATTCCCAAAGTATATACCCAACCCCTAACATTTTCCTGAGCTCCAGACTCATATTTCTAAAAGCTCATTTGGTATCTCCAGACTATTAACCCCAAAGAATGTACTTCAAATTTAAACTCATCTTTCCCCTGAAATATCCTGCTGTCCTGTTTACATTCATACACAACACACAGAACGAGAGAGAGAGATGGGTAGTATATGTACACATGTGTTTGTTAGTCTGGAAATCTATATATCTTACATACATACTACTTTGTGCATGTGCTTTCTTAGGTACTGGACATAAAATAGTAGCAAAAGCATGGCTTCATCATGACAAGGCATTCTAGTATGGGACATAGACATTGATCAAACTATAACAGATATAAATGTAGTATAACTGTGGAAATTACTATGAAGTAGAGGAGCATGGTGTCATGTGAAGTATAATAGGAGATTTCTTTGACTTTTTTTCTAATACATGGCCTTTTTTGCTAGACATTAATGGCAACATATAGCTCTTTTAAATCAGACTATCTACTTCTGTTTCCTTAACTTATTTATCACAGTTCAGTACTCAAATGAACTAGCAGGTAGAGCAGTTTTTCATCTCAGAATTCCCGTTGCTTTTCACCCTAGTTATGAGAACATTATTTATAAGTCACATAAATTGACTAATGATAAATGATAGCAATACCATTGGTAATGAGGATATTGGTATGGAAACTAAATAAAAGAGCTTCTATGGAAATTTGTGAGAAACAGATGATGCATAAGATCAGGAGCACCTTTCTAATCATAAAGTCTGGTTGCTGCTTCCTTGTTTTCACATGGTTAGAGATATTTACTGATCGAATGTTAATTGCTTATCTTTTTATCATATGTATGTCCCCTCTGTGCTCAAAACTTGAAAGTGGTCAAGTTCTCATTTTGAGATCAGAAAACCTAAACCCATTAGTATTAGCCCAGAACAGGAACTAAATTATGCATAGCCCAAAATAATAATTTTATAATCAACATAAATAATAATTTTTATAATGAATAATCCACATTATTTGTCCTTATGTTTGTATATTTTTAGAATATTGATATTCAATTATATCAGTTTTTACCATGTTGATAGGTATAATATAATAAGATCAATAATAATAGTCAATATTTATTAAGTACTACTTTGTAGTGCTAGATAATTTATATGCATTATCTTATTTAATCCTCAACAGTAATCTGGTGAGGTAGATGCTGTCATTATTCATTTTTTTAGATAAAGGAAATGGTGATTTAAAAAGCAAAGCCATCAGTGTCCCCACAGAAGTCATAGCATAGTTATGTGGGATAATTGTGAAGAGTTTAATAAGGAACTATAGTGTGTTTACAAAGGTTTGGGCAGATTTTAGGGAAAGCAAAAAACACAGTGCAGTGCCCTGAGACTAGTAATACTGGGAACCATCAATATCCCTAGTCCTAATGGGGCAAAGGGAGGGAACTGCTACTGGAATCCAGAAAAGAGCCGTAAGCTCCTGGCAGATGACCAGGGGCTGTGACTTAGCCAACCTGTGGTAACCTGGTGGAGAAGGAGACAGGGGAATAAAGATCAGACCTTACTCTCCTCTAACCTTTCAGTTTCCTGGCACTAGCTGAACCCAACTAGAAACTAGAGAGCACAGAATAGCTTGTTGATTCTATCTATACAGGTCAGCTTAGAGCCAAGAGGATAAAGTGTGGAGGAAGGAAAATGGAAAATATCTAGGAATTAAATAATTATTAAATAGCAGAGCCAGTATATGAATGCCGAACATTTTACTCCTTAACTACAATGCTAGACTGCCTCTCATTAAAAAAGTTTCATGCAATATTATTTGGTAAGAGAAAATATTTTAAAACTGAAGGTTCCTATCCTATCCCAAATTGTTGGATGCATTTATACCTAACAGTGAGTGAGACCAAATATATGAGAGCTAGGCAGCAAAGAATGCCATTTAAAAAAAAAAAAAAGTTAGGTGCGGGCATTGATTTTAATGTTGGTATTTTCAGAATATTAAACCATTCTTGTTTTTCTTGTTCAGATTCCAGACTCCATCATTTCTCGTGGCGTTCAGGTGCTCCCACGAGACACAGCCTCCCTCAGCACTACTCCTTCAGAATCGCCTCGTGCTCAGGCTACATCTCGCCTTTCTACAGCTTCCTGCCCAACACCAAAAGTAAGTACAGTTCCTTGGCACCTTAAATTTGTTCTACTATACGAGTCTGGGAAATTTAACCAATATTTCCCTCTGCTTGTCAAGGTTGGATTGCATGCAAGATAATGCAATGAAAAATGAATGGATTATAAAATAATTGACACTTACTGTTTCACAGATTGTCAAATTAGGCCAACAGTAGGACAATAGAAATTTCATGTAAAATGTCTACTCCTACATCACAGCTACAGGTATTACTTTCTGTAGCTCCCTGTTTCTTTGTTTTAGACTTGTTATTTTTTAGCTACTCATCAGTATAGATGTGAAGTTATTTGTTTATGCAAAGGATGAATGCATTTCTGGCCAATAAAAAATAAGATTAACAAAATAAAAAAATGTCACCAAAAGAATTTTTTTTTAGCTTGTCCAGGCTGGGGTAGCTCCCTGCTCTAGTATCATTCCAAATTTTTTCAAACATATTCAACTTGGAATGTTGCTGCCTAGTATTTGGAAACAAATCTAAATTGATTAGAAAGAAAGTTTTAATGCCAACCTTTGGGGGAGGAAGGAAGTTTTTTAGTATTTATTTCTTATAATTTTTCCCAAGTACTGAATCATATGTGGGAGGAAAAAAGGATTAGACATTTATTTGCTGCCTCATATCTTCATGTATATGATAAATTAAGTAGCAGACTTAATAATGGCTGTAACTGCTTTCTTCTGGAATATCCCTTTCCTGGTTAAGTTAGTCATTTGTGCTTTCAAGTTTTCTATATGATGGATCCAACATTGGCCTCAAAAGATTAACAGTAACATTCCTTCTTATTTAATAAGATATGGTATTAGATATCAGCTGTACACTAAATTTATTCAGGGGATCTGCAGGTAATTTTTCAAACTATGGCTTCTTCTCTGTCATCAAATTTACAACTTATTTGGCTGTCTTCCTCAATTCCAACTTTTTCATGAGTTTTAGAATGTTAAAACTGGACTTAACTTAGAAGTTAATCCCAAGCAGTTCTTCATATGTGTAGTACAGTTGCTTTTACATACCGTGGTACAACCTTCTCAGGAAAGTCCTCACAGTGTTACTGTTGTATATCATCACTTTTGGATTTGTGTCAAATATAACCAATATTAATTTTATAGTTTAAAAAAATTATGGTTCTAAATCTTCAATGAAGAAAAACTGTAAGAATATTCTAGACAAAATATATGTTAATGCCATTCAGGTGCCATTCAGCTGTATCTTCAACTGAATGAAAACATGGAGTTCTAAGACTTGAATTGGTTAGAAGAATCTTATTCATGTCTTTAAGATTTTTAAAACAAAAGAATTTATTGTTTACATTAAATCCCAACTATACAAGCTATACTCATTTCTGAAGTCTGGGAAATAAAGCTAAAAGTTTAGTCCACTATAAATGTTTAATCATTCACCAAATATTAAGACCCAAATGTTAGGAATGTGGGACTATTCAAGGTGCAGTATTCTTTTCCTTAATAATATACTGTGAACATAAATATCTAAGCTAAATTTAATTAAACATAGTAGATCTTGAGCCTTTTTAAAACTTTGTAATTACATTCTAATTACAAAAGGAATATTAAAAGCAATTCTAAAATAACTTGGCATTCCAAATTTACTAAAGTGAAATCCTAAAAATAAAAATATTAACATCTATTAAGTTAATTTGCTCATTACGAAACTTTAGGAGAACAAATAGCTTGTCTTAATATTTTTTCCTTAGTTACCACTTCGGCATTCAAAATAACAATGAATTCAAATAAAGCAGTGTATTTGGATACCTTTTTTTTTCCCCTAGGATTTTTTTTTTCTTTATTTTTACCTAAGAATAAGGTTCTTTTCCTTTTAGATAATTTTTACCTGCACCAGAATATATACCTCAAAGATAAAATTAGTACTTCAGTGTAATTTTAAAATTAAACTTCTAAGGCTGAACCAGAATACTAATGTAATAAAAAACTAGTTTGAATATAGATTTTTTTTAGAAGGAGTGAAGAAAGTCAAATTAGTCTATTGAAAGTCTCAAATTATAAAACTGCTTAATTAAACCTAAACTTAATATTCTTATATGTGCTTTTATATCAGTGACAGATATAATCTCTGCCCTCATGGAGTTTACAGTTTAGTTGATGGTATATTAAAATAAATAGGTAGATAAACATAAATTATTCTAATAATTATAATTTTACCATAACTTAATTATAAATTGAGATTCATGCTAAGCAGAAATGAACAAGTTATACTGATAGAAAATAGGAGGGAAACCTTACTTAGGTAGGATTATCAGAGAAGTCCTCTCTAAGGAGAACATTTCACCTGGGATATGAAGGATGAATAAAAAACAAAAGCTTTTCTGTTGGGTGGAGGTTTTGAGAATTATATTCAGCAATAATGACCACTTTAAACACAGTTGTCACCAACCAGTTATCAACAGTCAAGAACTCTCAGACTAAAAACTTCATTACTACATGAAAAGTCTAATTCAGTGACTTCATAATCCAACTTCAGATATTACTTCCTTTTTATTTTAAATATATTTTTTTTGCCTTTCCCTACTAAGTCAGATTGCAAGGCTATAGGTTTTAGCACTTAAATCTATTCTAGATGAATTGTTTATTTTAATTTTGTAGCATAAAAATGTAGGGCAGAAAAGTTAGAATGCCAGGCTTCTAATTTGAGATATGGGTAAAGGGTGATATTATTAACTATATTAAGGAATAATAAGAGAAGAAACTCATTTTAGGGTAAGAGAAAGGAGTTAATACATTTTGGTTTTGAATGTATTCAATCTGAGATACGTATGAGACATCCCAGGAATGATATGCTGCATAAAATCATAACAGTAGTGAGTTTGATATTGTTACTGTTACTGCATCTTGGTGCTGATATTTATAATTTAGTACCTAATAGTGTCAGCCAAACCCCACAGAGGTCCCTCTTTTACCTTTCAGATTAGACATGCAGTCTGTCATATGCAGAAATATATGTGCAAATGTATTTTCTTTTCATCAGAAATACAATATGGTCTTGAATGGTCATCAGTAGAAAGAACACTTGACTTGATAATAGAAGACATGGATTCAGATGCTGGCTTCTCTGCTTAATAACCACACTAACTTAAGCAAGTTGCTCAACTTTTCTGAGCTTCGTGTCTGTAAAGAAATGCAGTCCTTGCCTCTCCAACAGGGTTATTGATTTATTAAATAGTCTTTGCCTCGTGCTGGGAAAGCAGTGTGAGCAGTAGACATTGTTCTTGCCATTACAAACAGACAAAATAGGCAACTACAAATTACAGTAAAGTATAAGTGCCATGATTTATCACCAAGAGTACAGAATACTCTGGGAATAACCATCAGAAGTACTTTCCCTCTGTAGCTTTTTATCAACTGGGCAGTATTTAAGCTAAAAGACTTCCTGTTCTTTTACCTCTGTGCCTCTATTTTTTTTAAGTCAACAACTATAATATTAAACATTATTTTGGGTTCACATTTTATATGTTTACTACAATGTAATATCCTAGATTGTCCTTTTACTCTTTAAGATTACCAGCTATAGTGAGAACAAGATCTATAAAATACACCATTTGGATTTCCTTTTTAATATGCAATCTAATGAAGACAACCAACTTTTCTAAACAATCTATTAAATGGCATTGTCTCCAACAATATTTATTTGTTGTGCCGAAATGATGTAATATTTTATTGTATGTGGGAAAAAAATCTTTTCTCTTTTTACCAGTTATTTTCTTTTAATGAAACCTGACTGAAATGACAAATGATTTTCACTCCACTTGCTTTATGAAACTGTGAAGTATCTTTGAAGAAAAACTTGGAATTTTAATCTTATGTTGCCCTAAGTAAAAGAGTGGCTTAGCCAAAAAAGTCAAATAGTATGTAGATTCCATTTAAATAATAGTGAGCAATATCTAGAAGACTCAGATTCTAACACGGTGATAATATCCCAAAAATTGTTTGCTAAAAGAATAATTCTATAACAGATAAATTCTCTTATAAAGTGAGCATGATTCACAACTTAAATGAATGTTGATTTTTCAATTATAAAAGGTAGCAGCATCTCTATTTGAAATCAAGAGGCATGGGTAGAGAATAATGACCAGAGCAAAAAAGAAAAAAAAAAAAAACTTTCAATCAATTCACCATTCCCAGTAGATGTTGTTAAAATAGGGAATAATTTTTAAAGACCAATTTAATTATCTTTTGATTCATTAAGCATCTAGTTTGGCTTAAAAACTAAATGTAGTCTATTGTCACATATTCTCTGTACCTTAAAGATTAGAATAGAATTGTACCTAGATTAACCAGCAAGTTATTTTTTTTCTTTAGGAAGAAAATATAAATACTATCTATATAAAACTAAAGGTTATGGAATTATTAAAAACTATATGTACTGAAATATCTTAATATGAAGGGTATGTTAATTAATACACTAATGTCTAATCTTAATTCAAACAAAATGCAGAATTATGACTTCACTCTAGGTTTCTATTATTTTCCTTTGAGAAAATGAATTTAGATTACTCTGGATAAAGAATAAATGATTTTCACAGTTTTTAATGTGTATGTCTGAAAAGCGGTGTGATTTTCTTTATGTATTCCCTTGAGATTTTTTCTTAGTCATGTTAGTTTGTACAAACTATTGCACAGTGTCACCATTTTCCTTTGTGAACACCAGAGTGATTATGTGTATGGTTAGTTTCATTGGTTCTAAACCTGAGGCTCCCAAGTCTCTGGAGAATCTTACGAAGTTGTTAAAATTCTAGCCTAGATCAAAATGCTAAGTGGACCCCACAAATTATTTTCTACTATTTTGAAGAACCTAAACAAAATCAGTAAGACTACTATTAAATACTAAGTTTCTTTTGCTTTTGTCTGAAATTATATCAACATTGGTATATCAAAATCTGTTCAACTGTTAATGACATTATAAAAATTTATGGTTGTATATGTAGAGTGGACAAGTGCCAAAATATTTG